TAATTTTAATAATTTTTTATTTCTACTATTTATTAATTTTTTTCTTTTTTTTAATATTTTATAATATTATTGAAAACTTATAATTTTAATCTCTATAATTTTATCTTACTTTTTATTTTATAAGTATAATTTAGATTATTTATTTTATAATTAAATTAATTTTTTTAAATTTTTTTATAAATTTACATAGAAAAATGTATTGAAACCTCTTCATCTTTGAGAGTATCGTAACAACTCCCATTGCACTTTGGTCTTTATTTAAAGAAAAAAATTAGTAATGACTAATTTGGATGTCTCTAACCTTAAAGGATATGCAGGAACCATAAAATATAAGTGGAAACATTATTTATAACCAAATTAATTATTATTTTATAAAATTTTTAAAAATTAAATAATATTTTTAAAATGTTATAAATATCACTTTAGTAATATTCTTAAAATATTGTCATTGATATATAACAATATTATTATTAGTCTTTAATAAAATAGATAATATACAATATTTGATAATATATCATTAAAAGTATATTAACATTATTTATATATAATTAAGAAATATTTTTGAAATATTACCTAAAGTTACTTTTGTTGTAGTGTGCTTAATTAATATGAATTTTTGAGATCTACATCATTTTAGATCAACTTGTTCCTTTGAATGTTCAGCTAATGAATCATGGGGCCTACATGGTGTTTAGACTCTTCTGAAGTAACAAGTTTCCTGAAGGTTATTGTTGGCTTTCTTTTGGCGTATTTTACCCAATAGATTGGTCTATTATATTTCAAGGGGAGTTCTTGTTTGATTGGTCCAAGGGTGGAGATGTTCAATTGATAGAACAATTATTGGTGATGAGTCTTATTAATTGGGCATTTTGACCATCATAAATAAAAAAAAAATTAAATTAAATTAAAAAAAACTATTTACCAAAATAAATAATTTTGGACACGTAGGAATGAGAGGGACATGAAAACGTTAACCTGTTTGACATTTTTGGTACACTGTTCATCAAAATGTCAACTTGTTTGACGTTTTTGGTACACTCACTAGTACACAAATGACTTTTAAAATTGGGATTTTAAAATTGGTTATAAGGTAACTGATTTTAAAAGTGATGCGGTGGCAATTTCGTAAATAATGGCATTACTTTTAAAATTGGTTACGTTATAACCGATTTTAAAAGTCTGTGACGTTACTTTTAAAATTGGTTCTTGGAAAACCGATTTTAAAAGTTCCACTTTTAAAATCGGCTACTGAAGACTGATTTTAAATAGTGGGATTATGATAGTTGCTCAATCTATGCATTTCTCAACCAAAAATGATAAGAACCCTATCAAAGCGTCCATGTGCTATTTCGGAGTTATTGAAGACATATGGGAGGTCGATTATGGTCCATTCCGAGTACCTGTATTTAAATGCAAATGGGTTGATAGTAATAGTGGTGTCAAAATTGATGAATTTGGATTTACCTTGGTGGACCTTAATAAAGTTGGTCATAAAGAAGAGCCTTTCATCATGGCTATTCAAGTAAAGCAAGTATTTTATGTCACTGATCCATCTAATAATAGGTGGTTAGTTGTTTTGCAAGGTAGGAGTAACAATATCGGTGACGAATTTGGGGATTCAATTGATATTATGGATACTCCTTCCTTCTCAACATGTCTGCCAACTTTTAATGAAAATGATGATGTGGACGATATACATGCCACTCGTGATGATCATCAGGAAGGAATATGGGAAAACATTCCAACTTCATGATATTTCTGAAATAGGTTATTATAATTTTGTATTTTTATTAACTTCTATTTTTATACTACATGTTATCAATTCAATTTATACTAATGACTTACAATTTATTTTTGTGTTAATAGGTAAATATGGATGAACCTCAAGACTCTACTTCAGGCTTTACACAGTCTACATCCTCTACACAATCTACAACCAAGAAGAATGTCAGAGGTCCCACTAGAATGAAAAATGTTGCAGCCAAACGCCTCAATGGACAGAGGATACATGTTGATATAGATGAGATCACTGGGCACCCTACGGGGGATTCAGCTGCCCAATTTATGAGTACGATGGGGGTTCATGCTAGAACCAAGGTTTCTATTTTATTGCCCAGTTGGGATGAGGTAGAGGAGGTTGTCAAAAACCATATTTGGACAGATGTTTTGGTAAATTTTATTTATACTCATTTTCATTATTAAATTTAATTAGGATATCAATATGTATTAACTCGTTATTAATTTAAATGTAGGAAACTTGGGATATTCCCAACACAGAGAGGATGAGAAGGAAGACCCTCTCTATTGTGGCTGAGAGGTGGAGGCAATATAAGACCACCCTCACAAACAAGTATATTTTTGGTGAAAAGAAAGGACAATTTCCTGGTGATAAAAATCCCACTATAGACCAAGAGACGTGGAACACATTTATAGAGTCTAGAATGAGTGTGGAGTTTTTGGTAAGTTAGGATTATATGCATTACCATTTGTGTAGTTGTGAATATTATATTTTACCCTTAATTTCATTATATGATACTTTTGTAGGAGAAAAGAAAGAAGGCACAAGAGACTCAGGCAAAGAATGAAACCTATGTTGTGACGTCTCGTGGAGGTTATGAATGGCTTAAGAAGAAGATCATAAAGGAGAAAGCTATGAAGCGCCAGACTAGCCAAGATGACAGTATAGTTAGTGATCCTCCATCTCCACTTGCACGCCATGAAATATGGAAGGTTGCCCGCATAAAAAAAATGGCGAGTTTACAACTGAGGCAGCAAAGGAGATTGTTAGCAAGATAGTAAGTATAATTTTATTGTTCATATGATGCTAATTAACATATTGATCGATAAGAATTTGTTAAATTGTTTATGTGTCATATATTGTAGGATATATTAGATCAGCAGGCGAAAGAGGGATCTTTTGTTTCCCATGGACGACAGGATATACTCACTGTTGCCATTGGGAAGCCCGAGCACACAGGTCGAGTTCGGGCAGCAGGTAGAGGTCATACCTTGCAAACTTACTTTGGACCACAGTCATCTTCACATTCATCTGGGTCGGTGGACCAGTTGCTAGAATTGAAGGTCTCTCAGGTTGTAGCAACTTATGAGGATAAATTAAGCCAATTGAAAGAGGAGATGCAAAGGCAACGACAAGATGAGAATAGGCAATTGAAAGATGACATGCAAAGGCAACTGCAAGAGTATATGCAGTCACTTAGCCAACAATTTCAACAGAAAACTCCACCAATTGAACCAGTTGTTGCACATGTGAGTACAAAAGGTTCATGTGCAACTACAAATCCCTCTACTTCTGCCACTGACCATGGTACATCTAATAAGTGTGAGTTATTCGTTGATGGATCACTCGATCTTGTGGGCATAGGGAGGATTCACATGTTGGGGTCTGTTGTGCACCATCAGACCATGGGAAATGATATGGTAAGGGTTTCAGTGTTGGATGTTAGAAACCCAAAGGCTAGAGTTCCTGTGCCCACACAAGAGGTTCAGACGATGGAACAAGCCCTAAATACCTTCCTTCAATGGCCTTATAAGTTGGTAAAAGTGATATCTACGGAGGTAAGTTATTTAACTATTTAATTTTAACTTGGTGTTATTTTATTATAATGTAGTATAACATTATTTGTGTACTTTATTTAATAGGATGTTGTTGCCCCACCAAAGGCTATGCTTAACCATTCTAGAAATCTAACTCCGATGAAAAAGCTATGGAGATTGGTTGCAGATATGGAAGATGACAATTGACCCAAACAGGTCCCTTGGGCTCCTGAAGTGTTTGGCTTTTGTAGTAATGTCCCCTTGTATATAAGCCAGAGCGACATATCAGAGATTACAAACGGGCACTGCATGCTGAACATATCAATTTTGCAATTGTGGTTATTGTAAGTATTTGAATTAATTTTAATTATGTTTTGTTGCTTTTTTCTAACTTTATTTCTAACCTTGTAGATTTATCCATAAATTGAGTGTGGATAAAGGGAATGATCACATTTATGGATTTTTGGAACCCGAGTTAATCCAAAAAATTGGGAACAAGACAGAAGAAATTCAAGCTTACATCCAAAATTGGATGTCTGACTCAAATAAAAAAGTTTACTTAGTTCCTTACTTTTCTAAGTAAGTATATTTGTATATAATTGATTATAAATTTTTAAAAAATGTATTGTCTATTACTGATAGTTTCTCAATGCAGTGCTCATTGGCAACTTCTGATTATTTGTCCTATGGACAATATATCTGTATGCATTTGTTCGATGCACAAACCTCCTCCTGCAGATTTTAAACAATTATTAGATAAGTAAGTTGTTTTAAAAAAACTACTTTATTTTATTTATCATTACATTTTATTTTAAAATATAATAATGATGTCCTTTTATCATTAGGGCTATGGAAGGATACCATATGCTTAAAGGTTCAAAGTTGAAGAAAAAAATGCTTTGGGTCTCTCTTAAAGTAAGTTATTTTAGTAATGATATTTTTTCTAAGGTATTTTCTTTTGAATTACCATTACTACTAAAATTGGTTTTTATATTCTTTTTGTAGTCTCATAAGCAAAAAGGAAACTATGAGTGCGGATACTATGTAATGAAGGCAATGCATACTATTGTTGATTCACAAATAGTATATGGGTGGACTGAAGTACGTTTTAGAATTTTAGAATTTTTTTATTTTGTTTGCATTTTATCATGTTTTAAGAGTTACTTCTAATTGTTCTAAATTTTCTTAACAGATATTTATAGATCGATCACCATTGCCGCTAGAAGATATAAACACCATTGGGGAGCAATGGGCTACATTTTTCATTGAAACATTGGCTAGCTACGAATCATGTTTATAGTTTTACTCATTTTGTAATTTAGGATGCATCATAATTTGTAAGTTACTTTGATTAAATATATGGTTGACATTTATCAACTCTTGTCATTTGTATGTAATTTGGTCTATTAAAAACATATGAATTGTCTGGTATTTTATTAATTTGCAGGTTTTGTTCAGGGATCTTCCTTAAATAAGTCAAATATTTAAAAAAAAATTAACCACTTTTAACATCGGTCATGCCATAACCGATTTTAAAAGTGAGACTTTTAAAATCGGTCACTGTGAACCGATTTTAAAAGTGGGACTTTTAAAATCGGTCAATGACCGATGTTAAAAGTCCCACTTTTTAAAATCGATTCTCGAACCGATTTTAAAAGTAAAAAATAACCGATTTTAAAAGTCTTTTTTTCACTAGTGACTGTTCATGAAAACGTCAAATTGTTTGACGTTTTTGGTACATTGTTCATGCAGATTGGGCGTACGAAAATGTTTGCATGGAAGGCGTCACACAGGGTGATGTTTTTCCACTGTTCATGCTGCACCCCTTCAGAAGAATCAGTTCAGTTTTTTCAGAGGAATCAGAATCTGGACAGAAAAATGTTTGAAAGGAAGGTGTTAGTACCAGTGACATTTTGTGTTGTTTTTTTTTTTTGCTGAACAGAAAACGTAACTGGTACTGACGTTTTCTATTGTTTTTCTTCATGAACAGAAAACGTCAGTACCAGTGACGTTTTCTGTGTGAACAGTGTCACCCCGTCACTCAGAATGATGTTTTCCACAAATCGTCACCCATCCTGACGTTTTCTTCTTTCCACCGTATCCTACGTGTCCAAAATTATTTATTTTGGTAAATAGTTTTTTTATTAATTTATTTTAGAAATTTTAATTTTTTTTATTTATTCTGGTTGTTCTGCCTATTAATTGAATTAGGTAATATGTTATTTTTTTTGTTGGTATTAGAAATATATGTTAATTTTTTATGTCTGTTAACTAAACCCTTCGTACATATTATTTAATAGATTTGCTTATTGAAAGAGAGAGAGTAGAGAGAGGCGCAAGCAAATGTAAAAGGTATGAAGATAAGAAATGTGGTACCCATAGATAAGACCCTTCTTGGGTTCCATCAATAATGGATACTGCATTTGATTGAACGTTCAGGGCACTCCTGTTCTTGAACATATCCCTAACCTTAAGAAGATAAGAAAATGAAAACTTAAGACATTAATTGAAAACCTAGTTAACAAGATGAGAAAATGAAGCTCATGGTTACCGCTTGCAATATATTTTCAGCAGCATTCCCATCCAAGAGCCTTAAACCTGCTGTTGCCTGTGTTAACAAAAAAAAAAAAAAAATTGAAATCAAAAGTGATAATTCGTTTGCCATTATTTATGGACAAAAATTTAAATATAGATTAATTACAAATAAATTAATATGTAGTGACAAACATAAACTATCACTAATATTTTATATTTATTCGCAAATGATGTATTCTTCTATTACATAATTTTATAACAACGACTTTTTATGTTTTACCTATAATAAATATTCAAATTTTATCAACACTAAATACTTATAAGTAAAAATAACTTTTGATTTTACTCACGGTCATTATATTTGTAAGAATGAAAAATATGTAGATATAAGTCATTTTTTTTTTATAATAACATATCTATAAAAAAAATTTGGTGTAGTTGTCATATTACCTCAATATTTTATATTACTAATTTTAATAAAAGAATAATATACTAAAAATACATATATAAGTGTATTTTAGTTTTGTCAATTATTTTTTATATCAAAACTTTATCAAATAGATCATGCGTATAGTTTCTGCTCAAGCCCTAGAAATCAACAAACTGTGACACATAGCTGACAAACTTTAAAGATGAGCAACACGAACCCCAAGCTTAAGGGGTGTCTTGGGCTCCAGATCCTGAGGGACAATATTTTCAGCTGCCTCTATAAGTGGAATCAGCGATTTCGCAGCAAGTTCAGGAAAATCCGCGTAAGAACTCAAACCGGGTGTGACCTACGCCACAACAATCATTAATTCCGTAAGAACTAACATGCATGATGCATACAAATTTAAAACTATTTATGATGCAAAATTAGCAAAGGCAAAACGATGGTACCGTTTCCTTGAAATAGAGATCATCGCCAACGCGAAGGAGTTCCAAGTTGTGGTCAAAATGGAAGACATAGACACGACTTCCGGTGCTACCAGCGTCAATGATGACAGCGTACGAGGTAACAGTTTCTTGTTTCGGCAATATCTTACGATGAGTTAGAAGAATGTTCTCATCATACTGAGAGGAAGCGAGTGCAGGCATTAGCAAAAGTAAAAATGTAATGAAAGTTGGAAACTCCATTGTCAAAACCATCACCTCTCAACTCACCGCCACCGAATGAATGAGCATTCAGCATGTGTGTAAGAATAATGGATTAAGCCTAACTTAACCCTACAAAACTGGCTTATAAGGTGAGAGTTGTTTTTCACTTATATATTATTCAATTGCCTAATCTCTAGTCGATGTGGGACTTGGGTTTTTCCCAATACACCCCTCACGTCCAGCACTATTGGACTTGGTACGTGGATAAATTTGAGCTTGGTACGTGAATAAATGGTGGGTGTCCCTTTTCCCAATATACCCCCTCATGCCTCATGCATCAATGGTGGGTGACCCATTTTTTAAATGGATATCAATCGCTCTGATACCATTTTTAAATAATGGATTAAGCCTAACTCAACCCTACAAAACCGGCTTATAAGGTGAGGGTTGCTTTCCACTTATATACTGTTCAATTGCCTAATCTTTAGTCGATGTGGAACTTAGATTTTTTCCAATAATGTGCTTCATTTATAGTTGGAGAACGTAAGGTAACTGTAATATTTTTTTATCCTGTAATTTTTTTTTTAAGTTTTGTAACTAAAAAAATCTATTTCTTCGTAACTACCAGCGGCATTATTCATTATCGGGAGCAAAAATATACTCCGTGCTTGACTGTATTAAAAGAAATAAATAAATAAATAAATAAATAAGAAATTACTCATATAAAAAAGTAGTTATTAAAAAATAAATAAAGAATAAAATAATTCATGTAAAAATAAAAATAAAAAATAATTATTAAAAATAATATTTTCTTTATATATTAGTATAAATACATTATATTAAAAAAATAAAAATAAAGTAAAGAATAAAAAAGTATTCATAAAAAAAATAATTATTAAAAAATAAATAAAAATTAAAATAATTCATATAAAAATAAAAATAAAAAATAATTATTAAAAATAATATGCTCTTTATATATTAATATAGATAAAAATAAAGAAATAATAAATGAATTTTATACACCGGATTCGATATTGTGTGATGGATTGTATTTGGTGCGATCGTTTGATAAAAAGACTGAATTAGACTTTTTAAATTTCACAAACTCAAAAAAATTAATTTTAAATTCATAGAAGGGGGGAGTCAGTCACCATCACTGTTCGTAGGGTTTATCTTGGGCCCGACAAGGTGCTGGAAAGTGGCCACAATCATAATCCCATGTTGTACGCTCTGTTTAAAGTCAAGGATGGAAATTGAGAGAGGGATATTTATGAAGAAATTCAATCGTTTCGAAGTAGGGATAACATAAAGATTTGACGGAAAAACACGTGGCATTACAGCAATATTTTCATTTTCAGAAGAAAAGAATAAAGGTATTTTTAGTATAGTAAGAAAAACTAAAATGTTCTTATAGTTATTCGAGGATATACTAGTAATCTTTACGTAAATCTTAGATTTTAAGGCTGATCGAGAGCTCCGAGACGAGAGATAGAAGATAGATAAAAAACACTTTAACCATCAAGTCGAAATAAATATAAATATCGATAATAATAATAAATAAATAGTAATTTTATCTCATTTTATATAACTTTATATTAATCAAAATAGATTTTTAGATGTGGTGGATTGTGTCTTAATTACCAATTAGGTAATTCATGACTAATTAATCCTTAAGACTCACTTGTCTTCCTTCTTAATTACTTAATCCTTATAATACTTTTATTAGACCTTATTAATGTAAGACTTTTCAGTCTATTCGACAATAAAGAATGACGAGTTATTCTTTGATGAATTCATCTCGATTGAAATAGGTTAGTAAGGGTCATCATCGTCTTCCTACTAACTAGTATTCTACTATGGTTGCCTCTTGCGACTATCAACAAGACCGAGAATAGATATGATGAGAGATCCTGGTGGCTGGTGGTGTGTTATTGGATCGGCTGTCTCGATTGCCGAATTAATTGACACTAGGGCATTTTTTTAATATAATTATTTGTAATATAATTTTTTTAATACATTAAATATAAACTTAAAATTATTTGTAATATAATTTTTTTAATTTCTTAAAAACTGTATAAATATCCATGGATACCAGCGGGTATTCAAGAAATTCATGGATACCCGCATAATGGATACTCGCGCGGATATGGGGTGGGTATGGGGCCAATTTTCATCTAGCGAGGCGGGGATGGGTTTACTATTACCCGCCCCATGGGGCCCCTTGCCATCCCTAGCATTGAACATGATACATGTAGTAGCTCTTTACATCACTAATGTCGGGCACAAGATTGATAACATCGAGTGTGAGTTGGTTAAGAGCTCTCTGACTTGGTCACGCTAGGCGTGGAATGAGAGGCTTTAGACATGATTGCTCGTGGAGCTCTCTAAGTTATTGATGTCAAGCATAGGTTTGGTGGTGCTAGACGTGATTAAATTAATGGCTCTCTGCATGGATGATGCTGGACATTTGTTTTTTTGGCGCCAAGTATGGGTCAGGTAGAGGCTTTCTGTCTAAATAACTTTGGGCGTGGATTTTGAAACTCTAGGCATGGTGTACATAGAGACTCCATGTCTCACTTACATCAGGTATAAGTGGAATAAAGTTAGGCGCAGGCAAGCCAAAGGCTCTTTGCCTCACAAGCTCCAGACATGAAATAAATGGCACTGGGCGTGGTTTGTTGAAGGAAAACTTGTTGTTTTTGTTGCCGACATGTTGAGAATATGTTAAGTATGTTGATTACATACATGATATATGATGTTGTATAATTCTAGTTGATTACGTATTGATCGATGATGATATATAATGATGTTTTACGTTTTTTAACTTGAAAGTTGCCTATTGTTGAAAGTTGATTAAGTTGTAATTTGTTGTTTAAGTTATAAGAAGTAAAGTTGTTAAGTAGAATGATGATAAGTTGTATTGTGATGCATATTTAAGTTGAGATACATAAAAACTAGAAGAGAGTAAAGTTGTTTTAGAAATTAAAATATCTCATTATGTGGATATAAGTTGTGGTGCTCTAAGAGCCTAAAGTTGAAAACACTTCAGTAAGTAAGTTGTCTCCTAAATGGGAAATTGTTTTTAAGTTATCTCTTATAGGTTTTGTGTGGAATAATATGGAGGCCAAGTCAAGACATATTGATGAAGAAGTGACCAATTGAGTTAGGTATGAAGACGAAGAGTAAAATCCTTAATTGATTACTAGAAATGTGCATAATATGTTAGGTATATGTCAATTTATGATGTCATGTATGATGATTAATGAGTGCTCTACGTTCTCTTGGTGTTATGCCATAAATTTCCCTCATTAGATGCCATTCGACATTGATTATAAAACAACTTCTCATCGGGCTTGATAAAGTTAGAATTAGGTTTTGTGATCTTCATATGAATTATATCCTTTATGTTAGCTTTTCAATGAAGTTGGAATCACCTAAAAAAAAGGTCTAGAACTCAAGTTATTATCCAATTAATGAGTAAAGGTCAAGCTATCAAATTTGAGTTGAAATATTGCAATTTTGTAATTTGTAAGTATAGTAAATGGTGAAATCAATCTTTGAGGTCACCATAGAAGTTGTAGATAATTATCTTAGATTTCTAATAAAATTAAGATCAACTTGATAGCATAGATATAACTTTAGATATTGTGTTTGGACAAGACAACGTCGTAAAAGATTAATTTATGAAAAAATAGTTTACGAGTGGCGATAGTTAACTATTTTACCCTTTAAGTGTTTAATCTTGTCAAAGTGTTGCAGAATAACCTTATATTTATTATTGTTTTGCCTAAATTTAATGTGAAGTCTTTGACAATACTTCACTTATTTTATTAAGTGTTCAATAAACATGAAAAATACATAAAGAGTGAAATCAGTGAAATTAAAGGATAAAATAGAGTAAATGCAAAGGATAAGACATGCACAATCGTGCTTGACTAATGCACGATCGTGCTTCAAGAGAAGCATGCTTAGATGTACGACCATGTTATGAAGCACAGTCATGCTTACCAATATGAACGACCATGCTTTCTTTAAAGAGCCCCTTGAATTCAAAGCATGCCTTCATCACTAATGAAGCACGCTTGTGCTATGTGCCTTTTGCCTTTATGCATTTCAAGTTATTAAGCACGATCTTGCTTGTTGAGATGCATGACCATGCTAAAAAGTTCGCCTTATTTTTTTTTATTATAAATAGGGATGTCTAAACCATGTTGTAATCATCTAGTTTTTAGCTTTAGTTTCTTCTATATTTTTATCTCTTGTATTTGTTATTGAGATTTTGTAAGAGGCTAAAAGTCAAACCTTCGAAGGAGGATTCTTCTAATTATAGATAATTCTTTTTCTTTGTTTAACGGGTTCTAACAATATGCCTAGCTAGTTCCTCCATTCTAAGGTTATGATGTAATTGTTCCTTGTAAACTCCTAATGATGAATCCATGAATTGTTTACTTTTATTATTGTATTATTTAAGTATTTTATTTTTTGTATAAGTTAAGTAGAAGGACATGATCAAACTCTTTTAATTAATAGAACCTTAAAATAATTGAATTCTAAAAAAATTGCATAATCAAGTTTTTTTCTTAATTTTCAATTGAATTAATTTAGTTTTTGCGTGCATATGCTTTGTTTTTAGAATAAAGCTTTTATTAATCAATTTGAGTTTTTCTTAGGATAAAGACTGCCAGCTTCCTAAAACCATAGTGTTATCAACAATTTCAAAAGTAAAATTGGTAACATTGTTTTATAATTTATGAATTTTATTTTAAGGGAACGAGAACAATAAGCCACAACTATTGGGCTTTTATCTCTAAATTTAATAATAATTTTCTAGTATTTCATTCTTAATTCTTAAATCAATATTATCTTCAATCTAATTTTATTTCTTTAAAATGTTAGAATCAAGATTAAGTTGGTAATTGCTTGAACCTAGTCCTTTGAGTTTGATATTTGGACTTTGTCCTTTGTTACTATTGCGGTAAGATATGCTTGCCTTTAAGCACATTTTAGACACAACAAGTTTCCGGCATGGCTATACTAGG